TCTCTCTCTCTCTCTCTCTCTCTCTCTCTCTCTCTTTCTCTCTCTCTCTCTCTCTTTCTATCCTTCCGCAGGGGACACTCAAAGTTTCCACCAGCGTATCTAATTAAAAATAATTAAGAGCCTACACCAAATGAACTCTCGTTCGGGATTTTCGCAACTGCTGGCACCTTTATCCGAGATGTAAGGACCGGTTGTAGTGTCGTAAGGGCAGCGTGTAACAACTCTTTATGACAATATCGTTCCGCAGAAAGTCGCAATTTCCGATACACTCCGCAACTGCTGCAACGACGGCGATTCTCGCACGCTCCTCTCTCTCCCCATCACGCCCCCTCTCTCTTTCATTCTTTCTCTTTATCTTTCTCTCTCTCGAGCCACGTGCTGCTTCGCCGACATCACACATGTGCCGACAAGGCAGCACGTCACGATCGGTCCACGATCGATCTTCTCGGTCGTCGAGAATCGAGGCAACAACGAGGCGCGAAGGTGGAAAACCGAGTCGAAATCGGTGCTACACTTACTCGGCCGAATTTTTCCAAATACGCTTATTATAAATATAGGTAAAAATATATACGCATTCATGCCCCGCAGCATGAGCCGCGTGCGTGCGGCTGCGGTACATGCGTGCGTGCGATTCGTGTTCGATTCCCGTTTTCCAACCGTTTTAAAGTTGCATCGATTACTCCGCCGTCCGCCGATCTACATTGAGACTACTTTCGCGCTCTAAATCTCGAATGCTAAAGCAAACATGATATAAAGTCAACGCAAATTTCTTAAAAAGGAAAAAAAAGTCAAAGAGAGAGAGAGAGGGAGGGAGGGAGGGAGGGAGGGAGGAGGCAAGAGAAGCAACCAGAGAGAATAGTATGATTCTCAATGGTCGTTGAGATATCGCGATATTAATGCTCTTCCCTATTTGTATCTTAACATAAATCTAAGTAAGACAGTGGGCAGAATCGTCTGCCGATTCCTTCGAATCACCGATATCGTTATACAGGATGTTTTATATCGAAAAGCATATATTTTCTTGTGTACTTTGCGCTTATGAAAGATCCACTTTACTAAAGCTTGGAGTGTATTTTCGAATTATAATCCGTCTCTAAGGCTAAATTAAAATTAAATCAAAATTATTTAGGAACGTAGCGACGAGATGTAGACACCACACACACATCCTGCTCGTTATATTTATATATATATATATGTGTGTGTGTAATCAAAGAGTGCACCCGAAGGGGTGTACGCTAATCTTAGCACATTAATCTTAAACGAACGAATCTTCCTTAGCGAAAATTGTATCGGATATCGTAATTCGTTAGAATTATTTATAAATTTTCAATGTTAGATATCTCGGCACGATTAGACTTCGGATTTTAATTTCCGCTAAGGAAAACATCGAATGCAACTCGCTTGCAAAATAAGATCTATGCACTCCACTTGGAATAATATGTATACATACCATTTATTTTTCTTCGAGCGTGTATGCGTGAAAAAAATATATATACGTATATATAAATATATAAATATATATAT